ACCCTACACCCTAATCCCGAAACCCTAAACCCTAAACCCTCAACCCTAAACCCTAATCCCGAAATCCTTGCGCTGCACGGTTCAGACTGGAGGCTGGCATCAAGGACGCCGGCCTGGCCTTCGCGGGCTCTAGGGGTTCAGGGTTTAGGGTTGAGGGTTTATAGAGTTTTGGGTTTAGGGTTTAGGGTTTAGGGTTGAGGGCTTAGGGTTCAGAGTTGATAGGGTTTAGAGTTTAGGGTTTAGAGTTCAGGGTTTAGAGTTTAGGGTTTAGAGTTTAGGGTTTAGAGTTGATAGAGTTTCAAGTTTAGGGTTTAGGGTTCAGGGTTTAGAGTTTAGGGTTTAGGGGGTTTAGGTACCTCGGGGCTCTAGAATCGTTCCTTTAATGTCCGTTGAAGGATACTTTCAAGGGCTTTCTACCAGAATGAGTTTTAGGGTTTAGGGATTTTGGGGTTTTTATATGGATTTTAGTGGCTTTAGAGGCCATTAACGAAACCAAGGGGTCCGAAAGACTTATATAGGGGATACTTACTCAAACCATAAGCGTAATTCCTACTGTAGAAACCCTACCTTCGACCCTCTGTATATCTATATAGCATATATATATATATATACATATCAGGGTTTAGGGTTTAGGGTTTAGGGCTTACAGGTACTTAGGACCCTTTCGGGGGTTTAAGGTTGGGGTATCCATGAAGAGATTGCCAAGCACGCATGCCATTCGTGTTTCGAGGGCGCCCCAGCCCCTCTTCCTCAAAAAACAACAACAACCTAAACCCTAAACCCTAAACCCTAAACCCTAAACCCTAAACCCTAAACCCTAAACCCTAAACCCTACCCTAAACCCTAAACCCTAAACAACCCGGGTTTGGGCTTTAGGGTTTCGGGTGTAAGGATCCCAATACATGGATGGTTCTCTAAGTTAGGTCCCATTTTGGTGCTTTCTGGATGCCGTATTATGTGGGTGGTTGTCAAAATTATGGTCCCTTTTTGGGTGCTTATTATAATATGGCACCTATTATTTAGGGTACCCCAAAAGGGACCATAATTTTGACTACCCATGTTGAAGACCTAAAACGTAGCAGGGTTTCTAGGCGTTCAGTACGATTTAGAAACTGGAAGCTCAGACCTAAAGCCCTACTATTTGGATACGTGAACCCTCTGAATAACAGACATGGGCTCACAAAATCTTGAACTGTCTGCAGCACCCTCAAACTGTGAGGACTCTGTCCGTCGATGCTTTGCTTGGTCTCCAGTGTCCAAGTTCATCTAACCAAGCCTTGTCTCCCTATTGAAAGGGTTTAGGGTTGAGGGTTTAGGGTATTATTGGTGCCCTCAAGGGACTGCTTCTAGGGCGGAGATTCATTGATGCAAGAAGAACCAGAGGAAGCACCTGGTACATCTGTCGTGTTCAAGCTGGCAGGGACTGCTTTTGGCAAAAAGAACCTACGCACCCTAGAAGGCCCAAAATCGACATCTCATCTCCCTGACCCCTCACTATATGCCATACACGCGAAACCCAATACCTGTAACCCGAAGCCTTGCAAAGTGTTTGCGACCCCTTGACTGTAGTGTATAGTATAGCACCCTCAACCCAAAACCCTAAACCCTGAACCCTAAACCCTAAACCCCAAACCCTAGCCCTAAACCCCAAACCCCAAACCATAAACCCCAAACCACCCTAAGGCTCCTAGACCCTTGTAGTGAGATCCCAGACCCTAGCCCCCAAAGCCGAAACCCTCCCCCAGAAAGCCCAAGACCCTCTTAAGAGCCTTAAGGCATAAACCCTAAACCCTCAGAAAGGGAGCAGGCCCTCTGAATATCTGCAAACCGCATGCCTGCGGCGTGCATTGCGGAGTCTGGGCAGGCTTTTGCATCATGGGCTGCACTTGGTAGAAGACAGGAACCTTGCATTTTGCAAGAGGCTCCATATAGACTACCATTATGGAAGAAGCTCCCAAAAGACCAAGTTTTTTCTGGCTTTAGGGACCTAATTCCATAAAGGTAGTGTATATGGAACCTTGGATGTTAATTGGGCTTTCTACCAAGGGTCCCTTTAAATTCTAAAGCAGGGTTCAGGGTTTAGGGTTCAGGGTTTAGGCTTGGGGTTTAGAGTTTAGGGTTTAGGGTCTGAGGTTGGAACACAGGTTTTTGGATGATTTGTGCTAGGACTCCTTATACTCTACCTTAAGGCCATGAGTATTGAAAATGTTCCAATTTCATGGCTTCTACTCTAGGCCCTAGGCCTCAGACCATACGACCCCCAACCCGAAAAGCCTACACCCTAAACCCTCATCAAACCGACGAAGGTGAAGCCGACACCACGGACCATCGGCCTGATATCTGTCTACAACCTAACATGGGGCTTTGCCAGCACCCCCCCCAAGTGTCCTTTAAAAGAGCCCGTATGGCCCCTAATAGTGGGCATTTGGGTTACAATAGAGGGTAGTTGGGGGGTCTAGGTGGGCTTACGGCTTAGGGTTTAGTATAGGATTTTGGGCTTCTAGGATGAGGGCTAGGGTTTAGAGTCTAGGCTTTATAGGGGATATGGCACCGGGTTTCACACAAACCCATAAACCCCAAACCCTAAACCCCAAAAGCCCCAAAAGCCTAAAGACTAAAGAATAAGCCCTAAACCTAAACCCTAAACCCTAAACCCCAAAACCCCAAAACCCTATCTAAACCGTAAGGACACCCTACACAAAACACTGGCGTCCCGCCTCCGCCTTCACCTCCAGCGCGGGCGGGAGCTCCTCCTAAAGGCAAGGGCTGTTGCTTCTTTGTCGGGGCTGAGGGATCTCACAAACCCTAAACCCAAAACCCCAAAACCCCAGCCTTAAACCCTAAACCTTATCAACCCTAAACCCTAAACCCTAAACCCCAAACCCCAAGCCCCAAACCCTATAAACCCTAAACCCTTCACCCTAAACCCGGGTTGTAGGGCCTGGGGCTTTGGGGTTCCAGGGTTCAGGGTTGAAAAATCACAGGGTGTTGGGGCTTCGGGCTTTAGGGTCGAAGGTTGAGGCGTCACATACAGCTTTCGAGCGCGGCAGGGCGCAGTTTCGCCAACTCGCTTTGGTGTCGGTCCTCCCCAGATCTTGAGCAGTGCGGTGTTTACCGACGTATCTGGGGAGGGATCAAGTCCGCCTGCCCTTGAGGCTGATCCCGCAAGCCTTTGCGCCTCGGTATCGCCAGACGGATCGGAGAACCAGGGAGTCCAGGCTGCCGGGGTACTGGGGATCGGAGTTGCCGAAGATGGAGCACTGGATCCACCGGAGGTCTGCCTCGGACACCGGAATGTGGTGGTACTCCGCCATCATCGGCGCCCAAAGGTTCGAGGGCAGCCGGTTGTCCAACTTAGGCACAGGGAGTCATACAACAAACCCGCTGCAGGACCCGCGACAACATTCCACAACAACTCATTGCAGGCCGGGCGCGACCGCATGCGTCAGAAAGGTAATCTGCCGGTGCACGCCAGTCTCGTCCTTTGCCTTGTCCTGATACTCGGCGAGGCCGGCCGTGATTTCAGGGCCACGCTCATCTGCATATCTTTGCTCCGGGCCGTTCACTATGGCCTCAGGAAGTACGGGCTCTGCCGTCAGCACTCAGAAACCAGGGTCTCAGGGTCTAGTGCCTGCGGGTCATGGCGTCCCAGTCTTTAGCCAACGGGGTCTCTTGGACTATTCCCCTACGGCTCTAAGGACTCATATTTCAAGGCTTTTGGGCCTAAAGACCATGCTATACAAGTCTTTTGGGCCATTTTGAGCCTTAGGGTTAGAGTTCAGGGTTCTGTCGAGGGTTTAAGGTTGCTGATGGCTCTCCAACATCTGGGAGTACCACCTCCTACTTCTGCTGCTCCTCCTCCTCTGCTGCTGCCATGATGTCCTAAGTCTGTAATAGTGAATGTTGAACTTTCTGAATTGCCCATTTCATCTTCAAACCGGCAAGTGCACGGACAACACGCAACTCTGAACCGGAAGACTAAGCAAACTCGATGCCGCTTACATCGCTTCCAACTTTCAACTCGAACATCCTAAACCATGAAACCCTGGCAGCATGATTGTGATGCTGCCGGAACCTGATTAAGAAACCGTGGTCCCGTGACCCGAAAATATTAGGATCCATGTGAAGACTCAAGGTTTCTTGATCAGGTTCCTACATTACCCGAACACCCTAAGCCTAAAGTCCTAAACCCTTAAACCCTAAACCCTAAACCCCTAAACCCCCAAACTCTAAACTCTAAGTAAGCCCTACCTTAACCTGCCAAAACCCACTTTTTTGTTGGTTCTGATTATAAACCCTAAGATGGGATTTATAGGGACCCTACCAAAAAAAAAGTTCTGGTGGGTTAAGGTAGCGCCTGAACCCTAGATCCGATACTAAGCCCTAAACCCTCAACCCCTGAACCCTAAACTAGCCCTAACCCCTGAACCCTGAATGAGCCCTAACCCCTGAACCCTAGATCCGATCCTACACCCTCAACCCCTAAACCCTCAACAAGCCCGAACCCCTGAACTGTGGATCCGATCCTGAACCCGCAACCCCAAAGTTAAAGGAAACTGCAGGTGGGGAGTTCAGGGTATATAGGGCTTCTAGAAGGCTTCTATAAGGTATATAGACCTTCTATAAGGCTCCTATAACGGCAACTACCCACCTGAAAATGTCCTAGACTAAACCCTGCCTGAACCTTAAACCCTAAACCCAAAGCCCTTCCTCATTGGAGATGCCCCAAACTCGAGTCTGATTATCCGGGCCCCTGTACTACCTGAAGCCAAATACAGGGACAAACCCTAAACCCTAAACCCTAAACCCCTGACCCTAAATCCTAAACCCTAAACCCTAAACCCTAAACCCTGAAAATGTCCTAGACAAAGCCTCCGGCCCTCCCCGGTGAACCTCACTTACTGCCGGCGGGGTGGGTAAGCGCTGTTCGACGTGCCTCACGGTTTAGGGTTTAGGACTTAGGGTTTAAGGGGCCCACACAACCCTAAACCCGAAACCCTAAACCTTAAACCCTGGCTTGAGCCCTAAATCCTGAATCCTAAACCTTAAACCCAAAACTATGGTGGTTCTCCTGAGGTTCAGGAAATGGAGAGCGCCTATCTAGATGGACATGCAATAGATACCACACAGGCTTTCGTATGGTATGCGACCGGAAGTACTCGTGGGCTATGTAGACAACACCTTGGCGACCAGTTCGCGTGCTGTGTTCTGATTGCACCTTACGAATCCGAAGAGATTTGCACATGAACTAGTATAGTACTTGATGGGGATTGTTCAAGTGTGTATGAGGCTTCTGTAGGGTTTACAAGGCCGTTAGGGCTTAGGATTTGGAGTTCAGGATAAAGTACGGGGGCATAGTGCTCAGAATAGGACGTTAGAGTTTGTTGTAGTGCATAATGTCATGTTGTTCAGACCTATGCACGATTTCATCCCCTAAACCCTAAACCCATGTAAGTCCTTCTACGCACAACACACGCACAGAGACCCGGAATCGAATCGACACCGAACTGGGGCCCAGGGACCGTAAGCCAAGGACTTATGTGAAGAACAACCATAGATCCGCCCCAAGAAAGACTGGGCTCTTGCCACCCTAAGGCTCAAAATAGCCCCAAAAGGTTGTACAGTATGGCCTTTAGGCCCCAAAGCCTTAAGATCTGAGTTCTTAGAGACTTAGGGTCAAGAAATCTTATATCACAACTTATGAATTCCTCGGTAGGTAATGAATAGATAACACAGGGCTCTTTACAACTTGTGTTGGCAGCCGAAAACATCTTAAACCCTAAACCCTGAAACCTAAACCCTATAGAAACGAACCCCGAAGACCCAACAACCGGCCAGAGCATCTAAGTGGCGGGAGAAGCAGCCAGCGCACCTGCGGGTTTCGGGGCTGTAGGATTTAGTGTTCGACTTAGGGTTTGGGGTTTAGGGTCCCTTAAACCCTAAACCCTAAACCCGTTTGGGGTTTAGGGTTTACAGTTTACGGATCTAGTCTTCTAAAGGTCGGGCTGAGGGCTCGTAGGTAAATGTTCGGCTTACCTTGGTTAGTGCTGTGTTGTATTGATGACTAGAGGTTTAAGGTTTAGGGTTTAGGGTTTATAAGGGTTTAGGGTTCAGGGTTTAGGGTTTAGGCTTTACCCGTAGGTCTAACCCCTCTTAAAGCCCTATAACATTGTTCTGATGCAATCGGGGTTGAGATCGTTTCCCATTATCTCAGGTTGAAACCATGGGCCCCTAGTATGGGCCCTGAAGGGTGGGATCCTTATATACCTACCATATACCCTATATGTACCCAAAAGGCTCCCTAGAAAGGCCTAAGGGGCCCATACTTGTAACCTTAGACAATAGCAAGAAGCTGCGAGACTCTAAAACTCGAAGCCCTAAACCGTGTGCAGATACGCAGATCCTGAATCCCGAAGCCGACGTCCCAAACTTCAGCACGGTTTAGGGTTTAGGGTTTAGGGCTACAAACTATCCATCAAGTACTCTGGGCAATTCCTCAACCCCCAAAACCCCACATCCCACACCCTGAACCTCTAAACCCCTGAGACCCCACATCCTAAACCACTAAGACCCCTCATCCTAAACCCAAAACCTCTGAACCCCTAAAACCCAAACCGTAATTACATCCTAAACCCCAAGAGGCCCCAAACCCCAGATTCTAAACCCAAAGCCTGTGAACCCTGCGCCCCGAAACCAAAGTCCTCGACCCTAAACCCTAAACCCCTAAACCCCTGAACCCCTAAACCCCAAAGCCCTAAACCCCCAAACCCCTATAAACCCCAATCCCTAAACCCCTATAAACCCCTAAACCCCTAAACCCTCAAAGGCGCCTTGAAGAGCCCAAAGCCCTTAACCCCTGTAAACCCCTAAACCCCTAAACCCTCAAAGGCGCCTTGAAGAGAAA